CTTGCTGGGCCTGGGAAATCCCAAGATGTGTCAGAGGAGGCCTCAGCCCTCCCCCAGCTGGTGTCGGGCAGGAAATGCACAAGAGAGCTGTGTGAGGCCATTCCTGGGTACATAACGAAGAGTCTGTGCCAAGCGTGGGTTGCAGAGTCACTGTAGGCATGGTGAAAGCTTCCAGAGCTGGGGGTAAAGTCATGGGTGGAGAGCAGGGCCGACACGCCCTGAAATATCAGCACTCCCTGGATTGCCCCTCTCCAGCCTGAGAAGAACACTGCCCTAGTGAACAAGCGAGGACAGGCTGGGTGAGGATGCCATGAGAGCAGGTTGTTGGAGGCTGAGGGAGGCTACAGCAGAGGGAGCAGGAAGGCAGGCTGGTGGCCTTCCACCAGCACCTGCTGGCAACCCTGAGTGCAGCAGATCCTAACTTTCAGGGAAGGGACAAGAGCTAGTATTTCACACCATACAAAAGGAGACAAAGGAAACATTAAGTCTCCTTCCCATTTTTTTTTAAAGATTTTATTTATTTATTTGAGACAGAGAGAATGAGAGACAGAGAGCATGAGAGGGAGGAGGGTCAGAGGGAGAAGCAGACTCCCCGCCGAGCAGGGAGCCCGATGCGGGACTCGATCCTGGGACTCCAGGATCATGACCTGAGCCGAAGGCAGTCGCTCAACCAACTGAGCCACCCAGGCACCCTCCTTCCCATTCTTGACCTCCAAAGCAACTGACCTGCCCAGAAGCAACCATTTGTTCCAGGGTCTTCAGTATCTTTCTGGAGACATTTATGCCCCATGTACTGCCATCCTCTATGCCCTCTATTGCTCCTTGTTTTCCTCGCATCAGTGTCATTAGGCAATCAGTCTGTATCTGCACAGAGTCATGATGGGGAACTCAAATTCGACAGGCTGTGGGCCTGCCCTTCGCCACCTCTCTGTCCTCATTTCTCCCCACTCACTCCCTTTCTCCTGGTTCATGTTGCTCCAGCCACAGAGGCCTCCTTGCTAGTCCTTGAACACATCTAACATACTCCTGCCCCAGGGCCTTTGCACTAGCAGTGGCTTTTCTCTCTGTGTGGAGTGCTAGGACTCTAGTTATCTCCGTGGCTTATTCTTTTACTCCTTCACATCTTTACTCAATGTTCCCTTCTCAGTGAGGCCTCCCTGACCCCTTTCTCCAATTATAAAATTATAAATTATTTCACCATGCCTACAGTGACTCTGCAACCCACGCTTGGCACAGACTCTTCGTTATGTACCCAGGAATGGCCTCACACAGCTCTCTTGTGCATTTCCTGCCCGACACCAGCTGGGGGAGGGCTGAGGCCTCCTATGACACATCTTGGGATTTCCCAGGCCCAGCAAGCGAGAGTTCTGCCCCTTTTAAACTGCAGGACCTTAGGCAAGTCACCTGACACTCCGGAATGATGTCCTCATGTGTGAAACAGGAATAGCAACAATAAGCCCTTGCTTCAGGGTTGTGTATAGATAAATGGTTTTGTTCTGTAAGTGTGTGTGTTGGCGGGGTGGGGGGGCGGAGGTTTGCATTGTGCAGGACACTAAGCAGGTTCATGTCATAATGATACAGTCATAATATTCAATAACAATAGTGACTGTCTTATACCCCTTAAATGCCTTACTCGGTGCCAGAGCACCCACCTAGGTGCAAGCTCCCGAGGACAGTGACTTGGTTTTGTTCCCTGCTGAACCCCTAGCCTCTGTAGCAGCATATAGTGGACCCTAGAGATCCATGAGTAGAATTAACACTTGGATGATAATAGTGCTGCCTCAATTTTTTTTCTTCCAGCTTCATTGAGATATAATCGACAAGTAACATTGCATAAATTTAAGGTATACAACGTAATGATTTGATATACATATATATTGTGAAATGATCACCACAATAAGATTAGTTAGCACATCTGTCACCTCACACAGTTATCTTTTTTTTGATAGTTTAATGTTCTTTTCTTTTTTTAAAAAATTTTATTAACTTGACAGAGAGACTCAGTGAGAGAGGGAACACGAGCAGGGGGAGTGGAAGAGGGAGAAACAGGCTTCCCATGGAGCAGGGAGCCCGATGCGGGGCTCGATCCCAGGACCCCGGGATCATGACCTGAGCCGAAGGCAGACACTTAATGACAGCCACCCAGGTGCCCCTCACATAGTTATCTTCTTTTGAGTGTGGTGAGAACATTTAAGATCTATTCTCTTGGCGACTTTCAAGTATACAATACAGTATTGTTAACTATAATCACCATGCTGTATATTAGATCTCCAGAAGTTTTTCATCTTATGACTGCAAGTTTGTAGCCTTTCACCTATATCTCCTTTCCCCCACACCCCAGCCCCTGGTAACCACCATTCTACTCCGTTTCTATGAATCCAGCTCTTTTATTTTTTATTTTATTATATATTTTTTAAGATTTTATTTATTTGACAGAGAGACACAGCGAGAGAGGGAACACAAGCAGGGGGAGTGGGAGAGGGAGAAGCAGGCTTCCCACCCAGCAGGGAGCCCGATGCAGGGCTCGATCCCAGGACCCTGGGATCACGACCTGAGCCGAAGGCAGACGCTTAACGACTGAGCCACCCAGGTGCCCTCTCTCTACTTTTTGAATGAGGAACCAAGGCCTCGAGAGTTTGAGTAACTTGCCCGGGAATTAGCATGAGGGTAGCAGCAAGAATGCCTTGATTTACCGCAGTCCTTTTCTTTTGCCAATGAGGCTGAGTTGGCTCAGGGGCAAGAGCAGGGCCTTATGGGTAGATGCTTATCTAGCCCTAACACTGCACCTCTCCACAGAGCCCTGCAAACATCATTTCCAGTGTCTGGCCAGAGGTATAGGGAGAGACAAGTTTGATGTTTAACGGGCTGACACTTAACCGACTGAGCCACCCAGATGCCCTTTTACTTCATTCTTTTCAAGGACCACATTATATTCTATGGTGTGGTGGCTGAAGAATACACCCCCACACACCAAGTATCCAATTCCTGTGCCAGAACTTATATATATGCTCCCTTTTATGACAAAAGGGACTTTGCAGAGGTGATTAAGAATTTTGAGGAGGGGAGATGATCCTGGATTGTGCCAGCGGGCCCAATGTACTAACATGTGTCCTCATGAGACACCTGCAGAGGGAGGTGGGCCGTGTGACAACTGAAGAAAGGTGGAGGAGGGGGCCGCGAGCCAAGGCATGCCGGCAGCCTCTAGAACCTGGTAAAGGCAGGGAAGCCGACTCTCCCCCAGAGCCTCCAGAGGCAACACCACCCTGCGGACCCCTCAATTTTGACCCAGTGATACTGATTTCAGACTTCTGCCTTCCAGAACCGTGAGAGAATAAATGTGGGTTGTTCAAGCCTCCCGTTTGTGCTTCCTTGTTACAGACACCATAGGGAACGGATTCTTGCGGTATGGATGCCCCATGATTTAATTCGCCGCCCGTTCCTGGTGGGCGGGTGCGCTGTTTTCTGTCTTTATCACACTAGGTGCCACCAGCAGTGGGTCTCAACTGGGGAGATTGTCTCCCAGGGACATTGGGCAATGTTTAGGGACAGTTTTGTGTGTTACAGCTGGAGGGTTGTGCTACTGGCGTCTAGTGGTGGAGGCCCAGGGTTGAACATCCTATAATGTGTAGACAGCTCCCACAACACAGAATGACCTGGCCTCAAATATCAACAGTGCTGAAGTTGAGAAACTCTGGTCTATCCATTAGATCTGTTCCTAGAAGTACAATTTTCTTCCTTCCTTCCTTCCCTTTTTCTTTCTTTCTTTCACTTTCCTCTTCCTTCCTTCCTTCCTCCCTCCCTCCCTCTCTCCCTTTTCTCTTTCCTTCCTTCCTTCCTCTTTCTTTTTTATTTGCGGGGTGGGGGAGGGACAGAAGGAGAGGGAGAGAGAGAATCCTCAAGCAGACTCCCCACTGAGCCTGGAGCCCAATGCAGGGCTCAATCCCAGGACCCTGAGATCATGACCTGAGCTGAAATCAAGAGTCGGATGTTTAATGGGCTGAGCCGCCCGGTCGCCCTGAGAAACATAATTTCGAATACAATCTCTAAATACAATTGCTGAGACTGAGGGTGTGTGTTGTTGACATTGCCGTATTGTCTGGAGCTACTATTGACCTTAGGTATGTGCTCAGTCCCTATGTGGCAACATGCGGCCTCTGGGATGTTGGTGCAGATGGTGTGGGGGCCCTGGGAGTTCCTCAAGCCTGGTCGGCAGGTTTGTGGATTGGTGGGGTCAACAGCTATGAGGCAGGTGCTCTAGGGTTCGTTCATTTAACAGCCGGGTCTTGAGCAGCTCTTATGTCCAGGATGAAGCTGTTATATCTCTATCCTTACAGACCTCCCAGCCTGATAGGGAGACTGACCTGAAAACAAACCATGTGATACATACAGAGAGGGCAGCGAGGAATCACACTGGGGAAGTCAAGGAGGGCATCATGGAGGAGACAACTTGTAGCTCGAGTGATGGTTAGTTTTATGGGTCAACTTACCTGGGCCAAGGGATGACCAGACAGCTCGCAAGACATTATTTCTGGGTGCATCTGTGAGGGTGTCTCCAGAAGAGATTAGCATTTGATTCGGTAGGCTGAGTAAAGAGGATCGCCCTCCCCACTGTGGGTGGGCATCGCCCAACCTGTTGAGGGCTCTAAAAGAGCAAAAAGGCAGAGGAAGAATGGATTTCCTCTCCCTTCTTGAGCCGAGACAACAATCTTCTCTTCATGCTGGTCTGCCAGGGCAGGGCAAAGAGGAAGACAGCAAGGGGAGGCACAGAGTTTGGGGAAGATAGCCGAAAACGGGGACTTTTCAAGTGTTTATGACACAGGGCCAGGCCCTGTGCCAGGAAGGAGGGTTGGCAGCGGTGGCAGAGCCTGATTTGGAACCTGGCCCTGGTTCTGGGGCAGAAGGGGCTGGTTGTCCAAGGCACATGCTCCCAGGTCTTCAGGACCCCCGAGGGCCTGGGGTCTCACACTGTTATTTTAAAAAAAAGAACCATACTTTTATTTGAGGATAGCTCAAAGAAATCATTTACAGAATGCCTTTTGTTTTCAAAGCACAGCTTTTCATAAAAAGCAATGTCCACCTTTAATACATGCTCTAGTACATAGCTGTGTGTTGGGGGCTGCCAAGGACCCTGGGAGCCCCGAGGCCGCAGGTGCCCTGGTGCTCAGTACTCCTCATCATCTTTGGAGTCGTCCTGGACCTGGTGGCGCACCTTTGAGGGCCGCGGGGTGGCTGGGGGGCCTGCGGGGGCCTGGGTCAGGTTCACCCAGCCAGGCCCACGAGGCAGCAGGTGGCTCTCATTGAGTCTGCAGACGCGGTAGTTCTCGTAGTGGACGTTGTGGGTGATGTCCTTCAGGTCTTGGAGGTGGGAGCTGGGAGATGGGCAGAGGTTCAGCCTGGGCCCCACCACAGCATCCCCTTGGGGTCCCTACAGCCCCCCAGGCTCCCTGCATCCTCACCGGATGAGCAGGTCTCTCAGGAGGGGAAACTCACAGTGCGCCATGTTCTCCACTGTAAGTAAGACAGGACACGGAGTGCTGGCCCTGCCCCGCTGTAAGTGTCCGCTGTATGCTGCATGCCCCCAATATCCACCACAACCTTTTCCCCACATTTCGCACTGTCTTATCCCACTTCCCATTCATTCATTCCTTCATTCACTCATTCATTCATTGCTTTGTCCCCGGCATCTGGTACAGGCAGCTCCTATATATAGTTGAATCAATGAATCCACTAATCATTTATTATTGTACACTTAATAATGACTACATTATTACATTACATTATATACCATATATACCCTGTATATTATATTCTTTTAGTAATTATATTGATAAATTGGAGGCTCAGGCCCTGGCTGGTCCGCCTTCACTTCCCAGTCTCCCCCGCAAGGAGGCCTCCCTCTGCTTCCTTGGGTAGCACTGTCTCCCACCCCACTTTCTCCCAGCTGTCATTGTTTCATCAGCTCTATGGGGGCAAGAACCTTGCCAGTCCTGCTTTCGTCGTAGCCCCTCAGGAACCACATATGGTCTGCCTGGCACACAGTAGGCCCACAGTACATTCTGGTGAATGCCCAGGGTGTCTTCTGGGTGCTGGGCATTGTGCAAAGCAGTGGTCTGCCCTATCCAACCACCCTCCATGTGCAGATGTGCAGTTCATCTACTGCACGAAAAGCAACTGGCTATGACGTTGATGTTGTCCTCATGCCCATTTTACTGTGAGGAAACTGAGGCACAGAGAGTTGGGGAACTTGCCCGAGGCCTCCCAGCTGCAGAGAGGGACTTGATCCCAGGTCTGTCTGTTTCCTGACTCCTGGCCCCGTGATGGGTGCTGAGGGTGCCAAACGCAGTCGGATGTGCCTGGCTTTTCACCCCCGCTTCACCTGCTCCTCTGCAAAGTCCCTGCACTGACCTTCAACGATGCCCCACTTGGTCTTCCGGCCCAGGACACACCTCCCATTCACCAGGTGCTCTCGGTCAGCCCCGACTACAGCAAAGGGGATCCGGTCCTGCAGGAGGAGACGAGACAGAAGGGTTGGCCCTGCCTGGGAGGTGGGGAGAGAAGTCGCTGAGGTGCGGTGGGAGAGAAGTCGCTGAGGTGCGGTGGGAGAGAAGTCGCTGAGGTGCGGTGGGAGAGAAGTCGCTGTGGTGCGGTGGGAGAGGCACACTGTTCTCTGTAGAGAGAGAAAGTGGTAGAAAGAGCACAGAGATCTAAAGACATGGGGCAACTGGCTGGCTCAGTGGAGTGTGCGACTCTTGATCTTGGGGTTGTGAGTTTGAGCCCCACATTGGGTGTACAGATTACTTAAAAATAAAATCTTAAAAAAAAAAGTCACAGGATACACAATCTCATCAATGGCTCAGTTTATTCATCTGTAAAGTGGGAGTCAGAATGGCACATACACAGGGCTTTGTGAATGTTCAGGAAGGTTACCCAGGGTCACATTAATAACATACTCTTGCCGATGGCCCTTCTCTTACCTGGGAAACAGGAACTGTGCCCACCTTCATCGGTTATCATGAGGGTTAAAAGACACAGCTTCGGGGCGCCTGGGTGGCTCAGTCGGTTGAGCGACTGCCTTCGGCTCAGGTCATGATCCTGGAGTCCCGGGATCGAGTCCCACGTCGGGCTCCCTGCTCAGCGGGGAGTCTGCTTCTCCCTCTGACCCTCCCCCCTCTCATGCTCTCTCTATCTCATTCTCTCTCTCAAATAA